CAATACAGCACAGTACAGGCCCTTCAGCCCACGATGTTGTGCCGACCTATTATCCTACTAAGATCAATCTACCCTGCATTCCCTACTATCCTCCATGTGCCTATCCAAGAGTCGCTTAAAAGTCTCTAAACTGTCTGACTCCACTACCACTGCCAGCAGCGCATTTCCACACGCCCACCACTCTCTGTGTGAAGAACCTACCTCTGACATCTCCCATATACCTTCCTCCAATCACCTTAAAATTATGCCCCCTCATATTAGTCATTTCCACCCTGGGAAAATGTCTCTGACTATCCACTCTATCTATGCCTCTCATCATCTTGTAAATCTCTATCAAGTCACCTCTCATCCTTCTTCACTCCAATGAAAAAAGCCCTAGCTCCCTCAACCTTTCCTCATAAGACTTGCCCTCCAGTCCAGGCAGCATCCTGGTAAATCTCCTTTGCACTCTCTCTAAAGCTTCCATGTCCTTCCTGTAATTCTCTCTATATTTTTCATTCCTTTCTTGCCAAAGCTCATTCCTACGAGGAGGGAAACAATCCCCTCTCTGTGTTCCTCCAGGCACTTTTTTCAGATAATTTGAAAATTTTTAGAGCTGTTGCTAATCCAGCAGATAAATATTGGAGCAAGTCAGAAAATTCTGAGCCTCATAGATGGGACTTTTCCCCCTTTTAGAGGGGTCCTTGACTTTGCAGGCCTACCCCACAGCATTAAATAGCATAAATTGGCTTGAGGAGCATCTTCTGCCTTAATCATTAACGAGCCCTCATCTCCAAGAGCTGCTGGCTAATCAAGTGGCTTTCAATTCTGACCTGTCCCAGTATTACCAGGGAAACATTGGCTAATGTTGACATTGCTGCAGTCCTGGAGGGAAACATGCCACGATGGAGTCAGTGTCAGGGGCCAGACTGGCATGCTCCAGCAAAGGAAGGGCAGGAAGAGGGGAGGGAGCCAGGCAAATAGAATGGGCAGAAAGGAAAATATAGGGGCCACTCAAGGGGCGTCTCTCTGATTGACTGGTCCTCGCCAGCCTATCCAGTGAAACCTGACCAACTGAAAACTCACCACTAACCTCCTACTGTCATTAATTGGCCATTTGAGGCACTCATTAGGCCCATAGGTGGGTTTGTTTCCCAGTGTCTCTGGCATTGCTTCTAAAACTGTGGCTAGGGTAAGTATGGACAGTGGGTGCTGGGAATGATGCTCTTGGCATAGCACTCAATTTTATGGCCACCTGAAGTGAAGTACCTGGAGGAACATGGAGAGGGGAGTGTTTCCCTCCTGGTGGGAATGAGCATTGGCAAGAAAAGAATGAAAAATATAGAGAGAATTTTTTTAAAAAATCAGAATCTTCACTTCAAGATATTCAGCTCAGGAGACCCTAAAGATATTAACAATTCAGAGCGAAAATTGACAAGATTTGATTACAACTTTAATTTTCAGATTAAAAATGATCTCAATCTGAAGTAAGAACAAGATTAAGAAAGAGAATAATTTTTTTTTACCTCAATTGGCTATGTGTTTGCTTCGATAAAGGCATTATGTAGTGCATTTGATCAGTCGCCCACCAGCAAGGAACTGCTGGGCTCCCACAAGAAGCAACAGAGACTGAGTTACCACAGCTCTCTGCTAAGTCAGGGAATTTCTATTTCCATATTTTGGATGGCAGTAGAACTCAGTTGTTGGACAAATAAATGAATAGTTCACTACCACTTCCTTTCACTGTGGTATTCTGAATTGTACAAAAGATATCTGTGTAAATTAATGTGTGGAACATAATTTATATGTACAAGTAATTTGGTGGAAACTTCATTTTGACATATGGGGTGGCAAAAGAGACAACAATGACATGAGGAAAAACTTTATTACCCAGCAAGTGATTGGGATCTGCAATCTAACATTGGAGGTAGAGGTAGATAGAGTCTGGTGGAGGTAGATACATTTGGGGCCTTCAAAGGAGAATTGGATAATTATCTGAAAAGGCCACACTGCAGAACTACAATGTAGGAAGGTGAGCTGGGGTGAATTGCTCTTGCAGAGAGCTGGCATAAGGGACCAATTAACCCCCTTCTGTGGCTGTAATCATTCTGTGATTCTGCAGATTTAGGACTATGTTTGGACCTCATTATTATTTAGGTAAGCTGCCAGTGCCTGATGTAACTCTACAGGAAGCTGTCCCATTTTAAGAAGACAAATATAGCACCACTTGACTTGCTGGCATTGCCCAAAGGCACATCCCAGGAGGAATGAGGAATGGAACAGTAATAAGTGGAAGAACCATTGAGTGGTACCGTTTAGTTGAGGGTATTCTGCTTCTGCTGCTCAGCCTGCCTACGCAAATAATTTTCAAAATTGTTTAAAAGAACATTTAGAGTCCAACAATTGGAAGTGAAGTAGGCTCAGCTTTGGACCTGAAACGTTAATTCTGTTTTTTCCTTCACAGATGCTGCTAGACCTGCTGAACTTTTCCAGTAACTTTGTTTTTGTAGGCTCAGCTTCTGCTCTACTGTTTGCTGTTGAGTCTGGGGTCGAAAATAGGAACCCCATTTATAGATGAAAAGTACCTTACACTCCTTCAGGTTACTGCCCAGGAGACCTGAAAAATGGCCAAACCCAATATCAGGACATCATCTGTTCCAGCTTCCTTATCATTAGCCACCAAATGTTTCAATAGGACTTCAATAAAATTCTCATTGTTTATTTATTTCACCTACAACTTTGCAAGTCCAACAGAAATTTCTAGAAGCTGAAGGTGGAAGTTGAGCCATAGACTGGAAACCTGTGTTGCTGTGTGATTTTCATACTTTGTCTCACAGTGTTTAAAATAACCGTACAGTCCAGTATTTATTGGTTTAGTGCCAAAGGACTATTCATTTCCAAGATAGAGAGGGAAATAAAAAGTGGATTAAGTCACATTATGCTCCTTTTACAGATTTCCCAACTTTCACAGTGAACAGGGCCTGGAGAAAAAGAATGGAAATGGAAAGGATTGTTCATAATATTGTGATCAAGGAATTCTCACTTCCAGTGTCAATTAGTCCAAACTGGGATATTGAGTTTGTGTGACGCACTGCTGAATAGAATAAATTTTTGGAAGAGACAGAGGCTTTTAGTTATGTTCTGGAATACACTGCCTGAGACTGTGGTGGAAGCAGGTTCAATAGAATCATTGAAAAGCAAACTAGACTGTTATCTGAAATGGAAGAATGTGTAGGTTTACATGGAAAAGGAAGGAGAGTAATACTAAGTGAATAGCTCATTTAGAGAACTGGTGCAAACACTACGGAGTGGAAAGCCCTCCTTATGTGCTGTTTCAATTCTGTGACATTGCTTCCTGAATTTCAGTAGTGCCATAACAGCAATAGGTAATTTGTACTGGTGACGGAAAACCAACTGGGAATTAAATCCAATTAAAGCACTTTCATGTTCTATTCAGTTACATGGTGTACTCCATCAGTGATGTAAGTTAATTATGCATTAACTACCTTTTATATGGTAGCCTGAAAAATAACATGTCCAAGCTTGATCTCCAAGGTCATTACCCACTCTGCAGTCTCTGGTGATACAAACTAAATACAAGCTACTCAGCCAGGGAAGGATCTTACTGAAAAGTGGTTTAGAAGGCATTCCATAGTTTAATTTCATTCAAGCTGGCTTTGTGCATTGTACATATGACAAGTGAATAGAAATTCTGCAACATCTCCCCTAACTTTCCTGTACTCATCCAACTTTACAGGATGAACAGTGCTGATATTCAGCCAGTACAATTTATTCAGAAATTATGACAATTCAATATAATTTGCACTAAGCAAAATATTGCAACAATTATTGCTGCAACATTAGGAATTTCAGAATACCTGGGCAAAATTCTTGTTGCAAAAGTGAATGTGCTTATGGTAGGAACAGAAGGAAGCAAGTTATCTGTTCAGAATATGGTTAGCTGGTGGATGGAGGAATTGAAGCCTAACATGACGACTAGTGAGGCAGATTTCAGTGGCCAATTTGGCTATTTTTGCTCCTATATTTTATATTCTTAGTACTGCTCTTGAAGTCTGCATTTTAGTTTCCTTCTTAACTTTCTGAAATCTGATTTCAGGATCTCATCCCTCTTCCTGCCTATGTTATTAGAAATGTATCACCATTCCTTCACTGATGCTGGGTCAAATTCTTGACCTTCTTCGGCCTCCCTAAAACTAATGGACAGCAACAATTCAAGAAGGCAGCTCACTACGGCTTTCTCGAGAGCCATTAGAGATGGGCAATAAATGCTGGTCAGCCAGCAATGTTCACCATCTGATGAATAAAAAAAACAAACAGCAGTATCACTCTGCCTTTCTTAGAATCCCTACAGAGTGGAAACAGGCCATTCAGCCCAATGGGTCCACACTGACCCCCTGAAGAGCATTCTACCCAGACCCATTGCCTTACCCTATAACCCTGCATTTCCCCTGGCCAGTCCACCTAACCTGCACACCTTTGGACTGTGGCAGGAAACCCAGACAGACACAGGGAGAACATGCAAATTCCACAGTCACCCAAGTGTGGAATTGAACCCAGGTCCTTGGTGCTGTGAGGTAACAGTGCTAGCCACTGTGCTGCCCCTGTGAGCCATTGTCTTAGATGTTGATTTTGACCTTGAACTGTTAGTTGCCAGCCCTTGGGTCTATTGAGCTGACATTTCCGCACTCCCCCAGGATCAAAATTACCAGATGTCATCCCTTTCAAAAGTGGACGCATTGCTCAATGTAAAGAATGAATGGCTCGAAAACAGTACTAAAATTTTTGTGTGTGCGTGTATGTGTATGTATGTGTGATATTTTTATTTGAGGCTATCATTTAACAGACACAAAATTACTCTTTTGCAGTTATAACCAGTAGACTGAAAATTTCAATATAAAATCTTCAGAAATTGTGCATACTTTTTGTTAAAATGTGGAAAAAGTCCACATCTAAATCAGTTAAACAATTTTCGAAACCTAATTTGTTCTTGTGTTTGGCAGGGCATGGAAACTGGCATTCCTGGAAACTAAATGCCACCTGGTAAGAATATTTGTTTGTTTTTAAGAAGAAACCTAATTTGTTATTTTCCAAAGTTAGTTTTTGTTTCCAGATTGCACTGAGTCTTATTCATTAGTCAAACAGAGGTGAATGAAAATGTTCACTGGTGAGTGAATTCAAATTTGGATCACCTGATCAGGAAGGCAAACAGCAGAATATGGCTCACTCTGGTTGAAGCTGGGTGGTTTTTAATAACTTACATTCCAGCCACATGCAGTCATTTTTTGATAGCTATAGCCCTTCACGATATTGGTTGCAGCTAGTGGGTTTTCTTCTGGTGTTCGATGCACAAACCCAGATCCGAATTCTACTGCTGATTTCCCATCCCTGTGGATTGAACTGAAGTTATAAATAAAGAACTTCTTTGTGTCCTATACACGCAGTTTTGCTTACTAGCAGCTAATTTTTCATACTCATAGACAGCTGCTGGAAGGGTCACTTTTTTTTAAGATTAAAAATACATTATTGTTATCTTAGATTGTATGTTTCAGGTCAGCCTACAATTTTGAAATGTGTGTACCTTGTTTTACATCACCTCCTGAATTGTGGGATAGAGTGCATTGTTCATCTTCCTGTCTCACTGCTTCATATTTTTGTTTCTCCAAAATGTGACAGATAATGGTCATATCTGCTGTTTTGCAGCTTATGCAAAAAAGTGATGGAAATGTAAAATAAAAATGGTATGTTCTCACTCTCTCTCTCTCAATCATTTGGACCAAAATATCACATTTGAGCAAATTGAGGAAGCATCCCCCAAGAACCACTTCAGCCAGGATTGTGATTGAACCTGTGCAATCAGCATTATTAAGCACTATGCTCTTAAACATTGGAACTAATTGTCTGTACTTCCCAAGATTTCACATCATAAAATATTACGTTGTGCCTATCAGTCAACATAGGTATTTGTAAGCACGATGTTCAGATGTGTTATGACATTTCTGAACCAAGTGGGACTTGAACTTGGGTTCGAACACTACCACTTTACAACAAGAGCCCACCCATCAATCCACTTAGATATTTTTCAGATATGTTATGAAACATTTATGGAGCAGGTGAAAAAAAAAGCTTCAATTCATAAAACCCATTCAAAGCTTTTAAATCTCCTCAAATGGTTTAATCCCTTTTAAGAACAAGCAAATTTCTACTCAGACACCATATCAAAATCAACAAATCCTTTACTGGACGGATCACTTGGCATCGACCCAGGCACCGGAAAGGACGATGGCAGAAACAGCCCTGTCGACCCTGCAAAGTCCTCCTCGCTAACATCTGGGGGCTAGTGCCAAAATTGGGAGAGCTGTCTCACAGACCAGTCAAGCAACAGCCTGACATAGTCATACTCACAAAATCATACCTTACAGACAATGTCCCAGACACCACCATCACCATCCCTGGATATGCCCTGTCTCACCGGCAGGACAGACCCAGCAGAGGGGGCGGCACAGTGGTATACAGTCGGGAGGGAATTGCTCCAGGAGTCCTCAACATTAATTCCAGACCCCATGAAGTCTCATGGCTACAGGTTAAACATGGGCAAGGAAATCTCCTGCTGATTACAACATACCGTCCTCCCTCAGGTGATGAATCAGTATTCCACAATGTTGAACAACGCTTAGAGGAAGCACTTAGGATGACAAGGACACAAAATGTACTCTGGGGGATTTCAATATCCACCACCAAGAGTGGCTCGGCAGCAGTACTACAGATCGAGCCGGTCAGGTCCTTAAGGACATAGCTGCTATACTGGGTCTGCGACAGGTGGTGAGGGAACCAACAAGAGGGAAAAACATACTTGACCTCATCCTTACTAATCCGCCAGCTGCAGTTGCACCTGTCCATGACAGTATCGGTAAGAGTGACCATCGCACAGTCCTTGTGGAGACGAAGCTCCGCTTTCACATTGAGAACAACCTCCATCGTATTGTGTGGCACTATCACCGTGCTAAATGGGACAGACTTCGCATAGATCTAGCAACTCAAGACTGGGCATCCATGAGGTGCTGTGGGCCATCAACAGCAGCAGAATTGTACTCCAACACAATCTGTAACCTCATGGCCCAGCATATCCCCCACTCAACCATTACCATCAAGCCAGGGGATCAGCACTGGTTCAATGAAGAGTGCAGGAGGTCATGCCAGGAGCAGCACCAGGCATACCTGAAGATGAGGTGTCAACCTGATGAAGCCACCCAGGACTACTTGCACGCCAAACAGCGAAAGCAGCAAGTGATAGAACTCAGTGATCCCACAACCAATGGATCAGATCTAAGCTCTGCAGTCCTGCTACATCCAGTCATGAATGGTGGTGGACAATTAAACAACTCACTGGAGGAGGAGGCTCCACAAATATCTCCATCCTCAATGATGGAAGAGCCCAGCACATCAGTGCAAAAGATAAGGCTGAAGCACTCACAGCAATCTTCAGCCAGAAGTGCCAAGTGGATGATACATCTTGGCCTCCTCCAGTGGTCCCCATATTACAGATACCAGTCTTCAGCCAATTCAATTCACTCCATGTGATATCAAGGAACAGTTGGAGGCACTGGATACAGCAAAGGCCACGGGCCCTGACAACATTCTGGCAATAATACTGAAGACTTGTGCTCCAGAACTTGCCGCTCCCTTAGCCAAGCTGTTCCAGTACAGTTACAACACTGGTATCTACCCGACAATGTGGAAAATTGCCCAAGTATGTCCTGTACACAAAAAGCAGGACAAATCCAACCCGTCAGTCCAACCCCATCAGTCTCCTCTTGATCATCAGTAAAGTGATGGAAGGTGTCATCAACAGTGCTATCAAGCAGCATCTGCTCAGAAATAACCTGCTCAGTGACGCCCAGTTTGGGTTCCGCCAGGGCCACTCAGCTCCTGACCTCATTAAAGCTTTGGGTTCAAACATGGACAAAAGAACTGAATTCCAGAGGTGAGGTGAGAGTGACAGCCCTTGATATCAAGGCTGCATTTGACCGAATGTGGCATCAAGGAGCCGTGGCAAAACTGGAATCAATGGGTATCAGAGGACAAATGTTCCAGTGGTTGGAGTCATACCTGACACATAGGAAAATAGTCGTGGTTGTGGGAGGTCAATCATTTCAGCTCCAGGACATCTCTGCAGGAGTTCCTCAGTGTAGTGTCCTAGGCCCAACCATCTTCAGCTGCTTCATCAATGACCTTCCCTCCATCATAAGGTCAGAATTGGGGATGCTCGCCGATGATTGCACAATGTTCAGCATCATTCATGACTCCTCAGATACTGAAGCAGTCCACGTTCACATGCAACAAGATCTGGATAATATCCAGGCTTGGGCTGACAAGTGGCAAGTGACATTTGCATCACACAAATGCCAGGCTATGACCATCACCAATAAGAGACAATCTAACCACCGTCTCTTAACATTCAATTGTGTTACCATCACTGAATCCCCCATTATCAACATCCTGGGGGTTACCATTGACCAGAAACTCAACTGGACTCACCACATTAACACAGTGACTACAAGAGCAGGCCAGAAGCTGGGAATACTGCGGCGAGTAACTCATCTCCTGACTCCTCAAACCCTGTCCACCATCTACAAGGCACAAGTCAGGAGTGTGATGGAATACTCCCCACTTGCCTGGATGAGTGCAGCCCCAACAACACTCAAGAAGCTTGACATCATCCAGGACAAAGCAACCCGCTTGATTGACACCACATCCACAAGCATTCACTCCCTCCACCACCGACGCTCAGTAGCAGCAGTGTGTACTATCTACAAGATGCACTGCAGAAATTCATCAAAGATCCTCAGACAGCACCTTCCAAACCCACAACCACTTCCATCTAGAAGGACAAGGGCATCCGATATTTGGGAACACCACCACCTCCAAGTTTCCCTCCAAGTCACTCACCATCCTGACTTGGAAATATATCGCCGTTCCTTGACTGTCGCTGGGTCAAAATCCTGGAATTCCCTCCCTAATAGCATTATGGGTCAACCCACAGCAGGACTTCAGCGGTTCAAGAAGGCAGCTCACCACCACCTTCTCAAGGGCAACTAGGAATGGGCAAGAAATGCTGGCAGCCAGTGACACCCACATCTCACAAATGAATAGAAAATAAAGTTTCTTTAAGTTATTAATCAAACCAGGAACTTCTAACCTCACTACTGAGATAATTATGACTTTTGAAATTCAGCCAACTATTCAAAATAATATAATGTTATTGCTTGGGAAAATATAACAGAGCTCCATTGAAACTGTCCAACCAGATGCTGTTTTTCTTTTCTAATCTATGGCTACTAAACAATGCAGCCCAAATTCTAACTTGGTGATTCTGTTTTCTTTTTAAAGATAAAAGAACAGTGGATCATGACAGTTATCCAGACCTCATCTGCCCTTCAAGTGTGCTTTTGGCCACTGCATCAAATTATGATTCCCAGATTGCAGGTTAAGACTCTTAGAACAGCCAAAAATGTTTGAACTCATAGTTGGTTCAAATGGCCCTGCTGAATGTGGGTTTCCCTCCTATATGATTCATACCCTGCCCTTTTACCTCTTCTGGCAACTGTTGCCTTTATCAGAAGTGGGGATGTAACGTCTGAATCCAGATCCCGCCTACTGTTTATAAGGGTTCACAGAATCTTCCTAACCCTGCTAAAATCTGGCTCAAAGTGCCAAAGTTAGACATCACATGATTGTTCCTCATTTACTCAAAGGTAATTTATTACAGAGTCACATGGGTAGGGAGAAACACATTGAGTAGCTCAGAGTTAAAGGGAGAAATTTGATGGCCCCCTGTCCTCCACTAACCCCAAGTGATAGTTTAATGATCTGAATCCCATTTCGGTGCAACTTGAGAGTCCGAGGAGAAGTCTTGCTTTACCAGAACATGCCAACACAATAAAAACCTCCAACCCCACCCCCACCAGCACCCAAAACCTCCCTACAATGTCAGACATACATGCCATCCACTCTCAGATTATTTTCCAACCCAATACAGGCAT